ATGACGCGGTGGGGGGCAGGGTCCCTTTCGATTGTCCACGGGGATATCCATTATTTTGAAGCCTGCGTGGACGGAGGGTGTCACATCGCACTCCCACTCCCCGTCGACAGTGTGCTCCAGGCCATCATCGTTCGGCGGGAGTACTACTGTACTCGTGGCACTTTCATCGAAAGGTCGCCGTGGCATCACTCCCAGCCACCGTCCACCGCGCTCAATAAATCACGAGCACGGGCCACTCATCCCCAAACGCATTTCGAGCGCGCGCATGGATTGCGAGCACTGCAGTGGACTGCTTTCTCATCGCGCTCTTGTCTGCCTTTCGCGCGCTGTTGTGTCGTCGCCTGCTCCCGCCGCGCAACTTCGTTAACAGGCACTGTCGTCGTTGACCACGTACCCATCTGCGACGCGCGCCGTCTACCATTTCTACCGTCCGCCAATCGTCTTGTCGTCATTCGTCGTCGTCGCCCTGTCGTCACCTGCCGTCATTCGTCGTCGCCGCCCTTGCCGTCGTTCGTCGTGCCGCCATTCGTCGTCGTCGCCCTGTCCGTCATTCGCCACCCTGTAATCCATCCGTGTAATCATAGTCGTGTGTTTCATTCTCTGTCTTCCATTCTCGCCGCCCTGCAATCATCCAGCCGCCGCACAGTGTACTCGTCCGCAAGTTCTACGAACCACCGACCGCGATCGAAGGCGCTTTTGTCAGATCCGCCATGTCTTCCCGCGGAGGTGGACGGGGGAAGGCTGCCTTGAAGCAGATCGTGGAAGGCGCGGCCCCCGCGAAGAAGGGATGGCATCAAGCAAAGAGGCAGAGGAAGGTCGTCCAAGCCGTGGCCACTGGCAGTGCGCGAGATGTTGTGGAGGAGGCTGTGGTGGAGGAAGAGATGACGAACGACGAGGATGACTTTGAAGACGACGACGATGAACCACTGCAGAAGAAGGCGAGGGTCAGTTCCGCGGGGGGGGTTAGAATAAACGAGGGGGGGGAAGGGACACCGTCTGCACGGCGCGGCGGTGGCGTTGCCGTGGCCAACCAACCAGTCTTTGTCGACGTGGCACGCGACGTGGCGCGCGACCTAGCAAGGAGGGACGTCGGTGGCCGCGCAAAGGAAGGGGCCGCCTCGCATGACACTGCGCAACGTGTGCTTGCGCCAGTGAATCGCCCCCGAACCCCGACTGCAGACGTGGCGGGGAGTTCCCAAGCAGCGGTTGAAGGTGGGACGTTGCGATCTCCCGCAGTGGCGACGCGCGACGGCGCTGTGGCGGTCCCGGGAGAGGCGGTTGAAGTTCCGAAGGGAGGAGATGGCGTGGCGGCCGGGGAAGACGACGAGGCTCTGGTGCACAGGCTGCGCGGGCAACGAGCGGCGACACATGCGATGGATGCCGCCGCCAAACTTTGGGAGGACGTGAGAGGGCTCACGGGGGAGAAAGGGTTTGTGGCATCGTTTATGACTGTGGTTCGGGGCAGGACGCCATGAGCATGCCGGGTTTGTTTGACTATCGTGGGAGCGATCGTCGTACAAGTGTTTTTTTGTGATCTCATTGATGACTGTGTTCGGGGCAGTACGCCATGTGGAAGTCTTTTTATTGGCAACTTTTTTTTGTTCACTGGATTTCGACATGCCACTGTTCAGAGGTGGCATGCGTAGTAGAAGGTGTGCATTGGTAGCGCAGCGAATATCCATATGGGTGATGTTCTTTTTTATCTTCGCAACGATGCGTGGTCTTCTGTTTTCATTCCATCCATCACTCGTTTATTTTTTTGGGAAACGCATGCACGGCGGGTACGGTTTCATCTCTCATTGTCCATTGAATGTTCGTGGCAACAAAGTTATGCGTCATGGTTCGTGCGTATCGAACGTCCAATCCATCCGTCCGCCTTCGTTTCCTCAAAAAATAAAACAAAAATAAAAAAATTAAAAAATACAAAAATAAAACAAAAATACAAAATAAAAAAATACAACACACCACATTGGAGCAAGAGAGGTAAACGAACAGGAAACGCAAAGGTCGATGCAGACAAAGCGGTGAACAATCTTCGAAACGAAGGAGCAGAACAACTATGTTGCAAACCCATGCAATACCAGCTCCCTTCAACATAACAACAAGAGAAATGCAGAATGAACTGTTTTTTGCATACACCCTTGTGAGCGAAGGAAACTCAAATCTTAAAAAGGGATTCCCCTTAGAATGTGAAAGCATTTCCAAGTACCAGGAACGTTGCATTGTTTCCAATCAAACC